AGCTGCTTCCGTACGTGAGATTATGATGACAAGCGTGTTGGCTTATCGACTTGTAGTATTTGGCACACTGGATCCATAATTGCTTTATAAAGGTAGTACTGCTGGAGACTGACCACTTTAAATTCCTAGGTTGTTGCAGTGAAAGTTCTGCGGTGCAATTGCGTTCGTTTCCTTTCTGCCGCTGTCGAGAGGCGAAATGTTGACCTGTCACTTTAAATAAATGTGAACAGATATCGATTCGTTGGATTGATGGTTTAAACAGATTCATGGGTTTCGTAATCCATATAAGAGAAAAAAGTTACTGTTTACGTTGCACTTCTTTAACAGATTCTTAATTCATAGTTCATTGCAAGACTGCAATGCTAATTCACTGTATATTGCACCGTTATCGTTTTCATGATGTCAAACGCTGTCTGTTCCTACAGTATAGATGTCATTATTTGGATTATCTCCGGTGCCTTTTTTTGTGCATCGATACTATCCCAATTTTTAAGAGGTTGTTTGATTCCATTCAGTCTTTTTCTCCTTGCCAAAGCCTAGTTAGAATCCTGTTTGTTGAATGACAAGCTACGTATTTTGTATCACGTCGACTACGTTTTAGCAAGCGTTGCGACAAATGGTTTTTGGACAGTTGTACAAAGTGCTTGGCGTAGACAAGATCTTACGTGAATCTCCCCAGACCGCTGCGAAGAAAAGACCTCTCGAACACGATGGCGAACTCGGTAAGAATATACTCAATGCACGAATCTCTTCTTAACGTTTTATTCTAGACACTTCCGGTGCCAAAAAGGAAAGAAAAGAGGAAGACGAGGCCACGACAAATGCTGAAGTAGACCCAGAGCCGATGGAAAGTACGGCCGATTTAGCTTTCTTGATCATCCATCCATTTCCTCCATGTCATATTTTTTCAGCTGTTGATGGAACTTCAAAAAACGAGTCTGACCAGTTCAGCGAAAAGCCTCCACATTGCGTTGAATAGAAATCATGAATGCTTTATATGAAATAAAATATTCCGTCCGTATATGTTCTCTAATGTTTTGTATTAGTGATTGCATTACTATATGGCCACAGTCGTTGGAAACTGCGAGTTATTTTAAAAGTAAACGTTTTTTGCCTCGACACTATTAATGTTTCGATTGTAGAGACACTGTTCTATGTTATTTGCTATTTGATAAACATTTCTGCTTCTTGAGAGTATTTAAAATGCTAGTTGTAATTATTTTAATTGGCCCGCCGTAAAAATCCGTCACCGGATATGTTTTCACACGTTCTATATTTCCTACAGTTTTGTCAATTTGTAAGCGGCCACCTTCCTTAGGTCTTTATAACCAGGTGATGCAATGTTGTCGATGAATCACGGGCCATTTGATCTAATGAACCTAAACAATGAATTGTAATAATTCATGTCACCGCCTTCAGCTTCGTAGTAGCCCTGCGTTTGCAAAACCCTTGGTATTTTCTTACATGCAGGTGTTTACCGTGTCTTCGTAGCCATCACTTATTGACGGTAGGTCTGTAATTCGTTCAGAACCAAGACTTTAAATATTCCGGGTTAGGATGGTTCGATACCGCCGGGCACAAAGCTACGCTCTGGTAGCGAAGGTTTGGTCCTTTAAAAGAATCTTGCAGATAATCTGCGATGGATTACGTTAGTGTACTGTATTGTTATTCCAGACATCGTACCGTAATTTAGTGTTCCAGTGTGAGCAGTTATATATAATTAAAACGAAATTAATGTACCGTGGCACTGCTACATGCCAGCATATGGTAAGGGTAAGATCACTGTCTAATATTATTGTAGTATATGCTATAATATATTATTATACATATATACTACCGTGTAGGTAATATGGAACTACTGTAAATTGGAATGCAGCTATGCTGCACTAATCTATTCATGTTTGCTATTTCATGCATCAGTGTCATAAATGTTAACTTAACATCATTATTATTTATCCCGTATGCTTGAATGGAGTCTATCTGCGTTGAGGCATATTAACGTTAATATTTTGCGAATTACAATGAATTACTATGTACAATAGTTTTTGGCGCTATTGCGTGAAGTGCTATATTAGTACCTTGTAGCACGTGCGCTATACTTATACCGACTTTCGCTCATGTAGTATTAAGCGGCATTACATATATTTTTATTCCGTTGTGTAGTCGATATAACACAATGCTGTTTTGATACTACTGCTGTATAGTATGTCGTCATCTTAAGTGATAAAGCATATGCACCGGTGTAAGCAAATAAATTCGTATTTCAGTCTATCAGTATGAATTAAACTAATCTGCTTTTCAGTCGAAAGTGGTAATCCGTATTTTCTATTGCATTACAGCCTTAGCCCAGGTCACGTCAAAGCCATGACGTAAACTTAATCATGATAGTGGTAGTGCTGAGGTTTAGTTACAGAGGTTAGTTGAGTAATATTCCAGTAAAACCTGCTTGGAATGAACTGCTATTCAGTTTATAGGACGTATTACCCATCAGCAGGTAACATGCTGTAATATATTCATATTAAGTAATACATCAGAGGGTTACCTGTTGCCGTATGGAGTAGTATAGTGTATTGTTATTACTTCATGGTACTGCAAGATTTGTCTTTCGGTAAACCAGCTGTATTGCAATATATAAATACATTTGTCCTGTTTCAGTGTGTGGTACTACTCAGTCAGTCAGTTTCTATGGCTTCATCCTTTCGGGTCTTATGTGATTATGTAAACCTCCATCT